CGCCCTGGCGCGTTCGCCCGGCTCGCTGGCTCCCGGGACGGGGCCGGCTGCGGCTGGGGTCCTGCGGCCAGCTTCGGGGAGCGCTGGCGCAGGACCTCACTCACTTACCATGCCCGGCTGCGTCTGCAGAAGCGGCGGCGGCGGCAAGACGGGAGCGCAGCGGCCGGAGCGAGGGAGCGAGCGAGCCGGGAGCCACCGGCTCTCTGCCTGCACTAGTGCCGGAGCGTGTGCGAGGGGGAGCGAGGAGACACACGCACTCACACACCCGCACACATGGGTGCGCCGCGAGGAAGGGAGGGGGGAGGAGGGCAGCCTCTCGCCGCCGCCCACGTTTGCACGCCGGGAGCCCGAGGGTAGGGAGGGTTCCTCCTTGCTTCTCGCCCCTTTCCCCCCTTGCAGCACTTGAAGCTCCGCATCACCAAAGCCCAGGATACCAGTTCATCAACAAGGCGAACCAGGCGAGTGAAGAGGGGTCCAGAAGCTGGGCGAGAGTGTCCCCTTCGGAGCCGGCTGGCGGCGCGGTCAACCCTCCCTGGCCTTTGCCCAGTCTTGCCCAGTCCGGCCCTGGCAGTGAGTCCCACCCTACCTGAGTGCTGAGGCCGTGCGCTGCCGCTGCCGGGGCAGGAGTTGGGGTTTCTGCAAGCCTTTGCCACTCCCTAGTGGCGATACTCACAGTGGAGGGAAGACGCCAAACCCATTGCTACAGGTTCCTCAGTTGAGACCAGGGATCAAGTGGCTTGCCTGACTGGTGAAGAGAACCTAGCTTCTCTTTCCCTTCCCAAGATCCTCCCCACATGCACATAGGCACAAGAGGGCCCCAGCACCCACTGCACCTCTTAGTCCCTCTTTCCAGGACATTATCCAGACATTGAAATAGAATTAGAAAAACATTCTGAGTATCTGTGACTCTGCTGTGAAATGAAAATCCCTCTGCTGCAGGTGATGGAGCGTATGGGGTTTTGAAAAGGGGCGTTACTGGGTGGCTGCTGGACAGTGGAAAGGAGTCCAAGGACTAACTTCCAAAGCCCGTCTACCACCCCAAGAGGGAGTCCTAATCATCAGCTTTGGCATGTGCCTGTGGAGGAGGAGGGGGAAATTAGAACACAAAGCAGCAGCCACTGACAAAAACCTATCTGTGTGTCTTTTCTGTGCACAGGCCCAGCATGTTTAGGCTGAAGACAGGGGGTGGGTTGTCACCCCCTGGGGATGGAAAGGCTTTGTTCCGAGATGGTCCCCAAGGCTCTCCATGCAGTTCTCCTTTAGAGCGACCCAAAGCAGTATTCCCTGTGCCAGGAAAGGCAGAGAATCTCATGTTGGAATATGAGAGTCTCATATCTCCCTCGTTGATAAATGGAGCTGGAAGATAAGATTCCAAGGTAGAAGGGGGAGATCTTGATCCTAGGAAGAGAGATGCACAAACTCCCTGGCATCTCCCCACTTGCTACTATTTCTCCATTCCCTCCCTCTCTGTTAGCCCCCCCCCATTACCTCAACTTCTACTCAGCTGTCAGCCTCTTCTTAACGAGTCTGTTGAACAAACCTTCATTTAATGCCCATTCTACCCAGTACTGTGGTAAACGCTGATATAAAGGTGAGCAAGACAATCCCTTTCTACGTGGAGGGGGGCTTATAGACCCTTGGGGAGACAGATAAATGAATGATTACCATAGCTATGGTTATGTCCCATGTTAAAGGGGGCCTCAGAGTGTTCTGAGAATAGCGATGACAGACAGCAGCCTAGTCCTGGAGGGGAAGTATGCATGTGAATGGCAGCTCTCTCCCCTACCTTAACAAGCATTATCTTGAAGAATGAGGAAGAGTTAATACGAGACAGAAGAAAAGGACAATCCCAGTAGAAGGGACACGTGAGGGTGAGGTGTGTGCACAGGCTGTACCAGCTAGCGATTCAGCGTAAGGCCTAAGGCAGTCTTTCAAATACAACTGGCAAAAGGGCATTGTATCTCCTGCCAAAGAACTTAACATTTATTCTACAGCTGATGGGAACTCTGAGTGGGGTTTAGTTAGGAAGAAGACACTCCGGTTTACACATTACTTGGATCTCTAAGTCAACTGGAGTGAAAACATTGGATGGAGAAAAGCAATAAGACAGCTGTTCTGATCATCTAGGTAAGGGGCAAAGAGAGGAAGTAGTTTACTGGTAGGTGCCGTGGGGGAACAGTGATGACAAGCATGGTCAAAAGAACAGATTAGGACAGCAGTGATCATGTTGAGTACCTAAGGAACCCAAGAGAAGCTGTGCAGCACAAGGGTTTCAAGCTCAGGAAGAACAGATGGGACACGCATGTGTATGTGGAGATCACAAAAGCATCCTTTTCAGCCATTTCCTTCCTCTGCTTTTCCCTTAATCTTCATCTCCCCTCCATTATTTCAGAATTCCTATTCTATACTGGACACTTCTTATCAGTCTTTAGATACATGTCTTCCTTAGGTGGGACTCTGATAAGATTTGATCAATGGCAGTGGACAGAGGACTGCAGATGGACAGAGGGCAGAACATTACTGAACCACTCAACACACTCTAACTTGGGCTTTTCCATCCCTGGCCTTCCAGGGATGTGCAAAAACTTAATTTTCTTTTGCTGAAGCCTATTCCAATCCAGAGTTTCCCTTGCATGCAGCCAAAGACAACCTACTACACACATTATGCATCTTGTGTCAATTCTCACTTTCTCTAGGGTTTCAACTTACTTATGCAGCCTCTCACTAGTCATATCATATAACAGGGAATTCTATTTGCTTCTCTCTAAAGTGGCAATCTAAGGGGGGGAAGAATTTCTAATAAGTCATCTCTGGTGTCTCTTTCCACTATGATTCTCTTCCATGGCCTTCATGCATGAGAATAGCTCCATGTCCTTGTGCAGTCTGGGCCCCCACCCCTGCCCCATCCTTCTGAGCTCATCTCTGAATCCTCTGTCCATACTTACTCCTTCCAGGTACATTATTGTTCTCACTGTTCCTCAATGCCTTTGCATTTGCTGTCTGTCTGGAAGCCTGGAAGTGTGCCCCAGATGTAAGCAGAGCTTTTCCCCCTCATTTTCCCCTGGGTTTTTGCTTAAGCAGCACTTATTAGTGAGGTTTCCCTGACCGTCCTAGTAAAAATAGCACAGCACTTCACTACCTGATATTTCCTCTTCTATCATGATCTACTTTCCCCCATTGCGGAGCAGTTTCCATCATAGTATTTACATGACAGATATACATTCATATAGATGTCTTCAAAAATTCCATTCTCACCTACAAGAATGCCTGCTCTTGGTTGAGCTTTGTTGTCTGTTGTGTGATAGTAGGTTCTTGATGTATAGGATGGTGCTGGGCACAGAGTAGGCTGTGGTGGACATAGAAGGACTATTCTGGGGTCTGCCTTAGCTGTGAAAAGTTGTCTCCCGGGGAGAATAGTCTTCCTTCTCTGGCTGGCCTATATCCAACTTGACTATTCAAGTTGATGGTATAAAGACCCAGTTATTTTAGTCCAGTGCAAAAACTATAATGGGCTCCATTTTCTTCACAGTTCTAAAACTCTCTGTGGCCCAGATGTTGTGACATGTGTATTGTATCTACCTGATTCTCCCCCATTTCCACAGGTTTTTACTTTTCTATGCCAAGGTTTGTCTCAACATCTGCTTAAAAAGATCTGAGCTTGGCCCTCCCTGGTGGTACAATGGGTTAAAGCACAGTGACGCTATTGCAGCTACTGCAGCACGAGTTCAATCCCTGGCCAGGTAGGTGACCCACATGGCACAGCAGACCTCTTCTGATGCATCTGCTGCTCCCTGCAACAGTGTACTTCAGTATATCTTTGCCTGTTCTGCTCCCTAATCTGTCTGTGGTGAATCCTCTCAGCCCCTGCCCCCCCACCTCTGGCCTGTACCCCAGTTCTGTATGTATAAATAAATAAATCTTAAAAAAAATAAATCTGAGCTTGTTTCACAAGCATTCAGTAATTATGTATCAAATGAATGCATGAAGATCTGAACCCCATATTTCCTCAATGCCATCCATGTAAGTGGTTAAATAGCTCTTGCTTTAACACATCTTATAAGAA